AAAAAAAAAAAAAAAAAAAAACTCTTCAGTTTAGTGTAATCCATACTACATATGACCTCAATTATCTTTTAGTTTGCTGACATATTATTTAAATTTTCTTTTCCTATAAAGAATGTTTTTCAATAAAATACTGAACCCAGATTTTTCATTTTCTGTCAAGCTTAGTTTCTTCCTACAGATACAGTAAGTAGGTGAAAATTATTACATGTTGGGGCCAACAGGTAGCATGATGGTTAAGGGCACTGGACTCCCACATGGCCAACCATGATTTGAGTTTGCTTTCTCCTTTCCCCTCTCTCTCTTTCTCTCTAGTTAAATTATAATCAACTAATCAATCAATAAATAAAATAATTCTTTAAAAAAAGAAGATTATAACATGTCTTTGTCTACTTTTGAAGGTATACAGACAGCTAAAGTGAGATCATATTCTGAAAACTGCACTGTAGAATTAAATGGAATTATTGTTTATGCTTAACTGGATTTTCTTACTCTAGTTTGTTTCCAATTTTAGTTTGGGAACATTTTTTGAATATAAACTATTGAAAGGAATTTTAGAATGATTCTAAAGCCCCTTTTTTCCCCCTAAAGTTTATTTTTATTTTTACTCATGATAGCAAGCGAGAAAAAGGTAGGCACCCTTCCCACAGTCTCGTCACAACTAAGGTGATTATTTTTTAAAATAATCCTTGATTCTTCATAAATATCATCTGAAAGATTCCATTTAAATATGGAAAGCTGATTTTTAAAATTGCACTATTGGAGTGACTTGAAAAACTCACCAGACTTGTATGCCCAAAATTCTGAGAGGAAACCGGGAAGAGGGATTGTAGCATGGCCATGGGGGGAGGAGGGGACTTTTTCACTTTCTCTCACTCGCTCCCACCTTCCCCAACCCATGAATCCTATAGCAATATTTAAAAATCAAAATACCATCACCATTATTGTATTGTACTTTTTTTCTCTTCTTAACTAAGAGAAGACATAAATTGAAAAGGCGCAGGGCCAGCAGGCGGCTAGTGGTTATGGCACTGGATTGTACCTGGCCAATCGAGGTTGTAGTCCCGGACCCAGCAACCTGAAAATCACACCCTGTGTGTGTGTGTGTGTGTGTGTGTTCCCTCTGCTGTCTCTGTTTCTGTCTGACCAGCACACACCAATGACCAAAAAAAAAAAAAAAAACTTAAAAAGAAAATGAGCCACAGCCTCTCACTATTTTGAGCTACATTACAGCCGAAGAAAAAAATAAATTCCTTTATCGTTTCTGCAAAGGCTTTGAAAAGTTAAACCAGGATAGTCTGTTCCATTCTTGGAATTAATTCTAAAAAGGCAATACCTTTTATCAGCCAAAGCAACTAAGAAATGCCTTTCAGGCAAAAGTCATTAATTAGTACAACAAAGTCTTGATCGCCTGAACAGTATTTTCCTTTTCTGGACTTCGTTTTACAACAGTGCCTAGTTGAGCAACGTGCAAGATTGAGTGTCTTGGCCCTAACATCCTCCTCCTGTCACACTTCCCGAAAACAGTGGCGGGTCAACTTTATCTGTTTCCGCCTTCCTGGAAATATGCCTGAACATCTAACCACAGGAATCAAGTGAAAAAGATAGGCTGATATAAAGAAAGGGAGAAAAGTTGCGGGCGACGGAGCGCGGGGTAGGGTAACGACGTGAAAAACACGGTCCCAGACTTGAGTCATGGTGGCAGAGACCCGGACCTTCTGTGCGCCAGCCTAACTCAGACTTGAAAAGAGCTGGGCAAACTCGGCGGCAGGAGATGGCAGGGGAGAAGATCCCCCCAGTGGGGGCGTGGTTAGTTTTCAGTAAACATCTAACGATACCGAGGAGAGGAAATGAGGCAGGCCGATTGCGCGAGCTGATGAGACGCTTTTCAGCGTGCTCTGCAACTTCTCACGATGGGCCGATGCTGCCTCAGAAAGAGCACGAGCTAAGTAGCAGAGAAACCGCTCTCTCGTGGTTTCATCTCTCCTCTGCAGTCTCCCACTTCCGGGCGTACCCCAAACGAGTGGCAGGGACACCCTCTAACACGATCAACCTTAATACGCAGAACGGTAAACCACAAGTCCCAAGATGCAGCGCTGCCTCGGGCCGCACGCCGACGATGCCTGCTGGAGGAACTACAAATCCCAGGATGCAGTGCTCCCTCGAGGGAGTCCGGAAGCCTAGAATCGGATTGGTCGAGGTGTGCCAGGGAGCGGCCTGTGACTGGCCTATCCTACTGCGGGCAGGGGAGCACTGTGCGCTTTCCCCCCGACGGAAGTAGGCTGTGCGCGTCCCGCCTCACCAGATACTGCTCTCCCGCGCTTCCCAGAAATCGTCTGTGACCCAGCGGAAGTAGTTCCTCCCGCTGCCCCGGAACCCACCCGGGTAGGCAGCTGGGTGGGGGGGGTGGCCCTGGATTAGGGGCTGTGGCGGTACGCGGGGACTCCGCTTCGGTGGCTCCAGGGCTGACGAGTGAGTCTCGGGCTGGGGCGGGAACGGAGACGCGAGGTCGCGTGGCGGCCGGGGAGCATTGGTAATCCCTCTTCCCATCGGGGGGGCAAGGGAGGGAAACTCTTACCCCCTCGGGCCCCCCCCCCAGCGCTCCTGGTTTGGGGGATGGGAGAATCGGGCGGTGGGACCTTTCCTGGCGCGACTCGGTGGGGCTTGGAAAGAGGTGGAAGGAGGGGCGGGCGCGGGCGAGACTGGGCCTTTCCTGGGCTGAGCGCGGGGAGGGTGGAGTTGGGAGCATGGCAGCCCTGTCGCTTTTCCTTTCTGCTTTCATCATGCGGTCTCAAATTCATCGTTCTTGAAGTCCCTAGTCCCAGGAGAGGGACTTCCTTACAGCTGCTGGACCCCCTAGAAGTTAACCTTCTAGGGTAACTATTAGTTTGGGCTTGGCAGGTTGGATCTTTCGGGTGTCTACCGCCCAGTCTTGTCTGAAAGGAGGTATCTAGTGTCAACTACATTGTCCATTGAATTTCTCTTAAGGAACTGAGATTTTCTTAATAACATATAATTGGAATTTGTATCACTTAGTACGAGCATTTGTACTCTGCTTGGCTTGCAGTGTAGCCACCGAAATCCTTTTCATCTTAAAGCCTCCCTTTTAAACTGCCCAGTTTTCTTTTCGATCTCAAGTAGTTGTTTCTTTTTCTTATAAGCGTCTTTAAGTGGTAAATCTCTGATATCCTTTACCTTATCATGGGTGTTGAACCATTTCAGTTTGCACATGGATTTATTCGTTCTGTAAATACAGTGGCAAGGAAATAGCTGTGGTCCTGCTATCATGGACATTTATTGAGTTTATAGCCACTGATAATTTGGGGCCTCTGTTTAATTTTTAAATGATTTTTCTCTTTTTTCTTAAATTTATCTGTTGTATAATAACTATCATTGGAAAAATAAGAGGTGTTCAAGAAGTTCTTGGAAAGTATGTATTATGAAAAAGCTGCATGCATGGCTTTTTTCTTTTCCCCCCAGAGAGTGTGGTGGCCAGAGGAGCGAAAGCACCCCTAATGGGCATCCCTCATGTGCAATCCCTTCTCCGTTACTCCAGCCTGTGGAGATTTGGGGCATGTATGAACACCTATTGGATCAGGAGTTGAACTGTGATCAGATTTGTGGCATCCAGCTTCTTTAACCACTGTGCTACAAGGTGGTACTTGTTCATGGATTTCACATTTCTTTGCACCAAAATAAACTGGTGTGGGCCAGCCAGGGTTGTGGTGGTTGGAAGCAGCTGAATTCCACACGGCTTCTGCACAGTTCAAGTCCAGGATGCTTTGACTTGAAAAACATGTTGGGTGTTAATGCATGCATGCATGCCCAAGATCCCAAGGGAAGGAATTGCAGCATTGTCATCCTCCCTGGAAGGTGCTTTCTTATTTTCTCTCTCCAGCTATCACACCTGCCCTATGGCAAATTTTTTAAAAAAATTTTGTAACAGGAGCCAGCAAGTGGCTTGGTGGTTGAAGGCACTGGACTCCCACATGGCCAACCATGGTTCAAGTCTCGGACCTGGTGACTTCCTTTCTCACTTTCTCTGTCTCTGGTCAAATTGGAAAATAATAATAAATAAATGTTAAAAAGTAGATCTTGCCCGCAAACTTTGTGAAGTTCCCTCAAACAAATATGCACACTCATGCACAGATAATTTTTTCACAGGGTGGTAACTGGTTTCTTTACCAGATAGTAACTCAGAAGTTATAGTCAGCCTTATAAGAGGCTACAAAAAGTTCATGAAGGGCCCTTTTACTGTGGGAATAGGGCGCTGAGCAGAGAAAGCAAGATTCCACATGGATTTCCAGGCTTAGAGTCACAGCCCGCTTGGAGTGGGGGCATGGAAGACAACCTAGGCACAACAGGGTACTGCTGGGATGGAGAATTGTAAGACAGTGGGTTGCTGAGTGACAGATGCCAAAGTGTTCTCTCTCACTCTTCCTTTTTGGTCATTCATACCCCGTCTGACATCAAAAATACAACTGGCTGGCCCTATGTTCTAGTGCTCAAAGAAACTCCAAGGAGGCTGACCACAGTTTGAATTTTAGCCTGAAAAACACACTGTGTTCACACGTGCCCAAATGCTGACCACATGGAGAAAAGGAGGAAAAGGGATTGCATCAGACCACACCACTGTGGGTGGTGGTGCATTCTTTTTTTTCTGGCAAGTATATGTGCCTTTTGACCAAAAGAGGAAAAAATGGAGTGAAAGTATTGGTTTATTTTATTTATTTATTTATTTTTGAGAGGTTTTTGCTATAGGGCGCGTGCGCTCGCCAGACAGACAGAGAGAGACATAGAGACAGAAAGCGAGAAATCACCCCCCAGTGGGGATGGCCATGCCACAATCCCTTCTCCTCCATTCTCCTCTCGGGATCTTGGGCACGCACGCACAGGCGCCCGGCATGAGTTTTAAGCTACCGGGTCCAGGACACAAACTGTGGTCAACTACGTGGGAGTCCAGCGACATAGCCATTACGCCAACTGCTGGTTCCCAGTATTGGTTTATTTTGGTGCAACCTGAAATCCATGCAGTTTTTTTCATGATATGCATTCCCATGAACTTTTTTTTTTTTTTTTTTTAAGAAAGAAGAGAGGGAAAGTGAGAAAGGAAGCCACCAGGTCTGGGACTCAAACCACAGTAGGCCATGTGGGAGTCCAGCACCCTGCCAGCCCCTCCCATGAACTTTTTTGAAGGCCCCCTCACATACCAAGTTCTAAAATAATAATTATTTAAATCTTCTAAAATGCTTGTCTTGGTGCTTTTTTTTTTGTAGATTTTCAGTACTGGGAAATAATCAGGAAAATCATTAAATTTACATTCATATATGTTAACATAGTTCAGCTAACTTACTGCCCTAAATACTTTATCATTTCATTATTAAGAATAGAGCAAGCCAGCCAGTAGCATGGTGGTTAAGGCAGCTGGTTCCCACCTGGCTGGCTATGCAGTTCCAAGTCCTGGACCTGGCAGTTGAAAAACTTGCAGGGCGTATGTGTGTGTGAGTGCCCAAAATCCCAAAAGGAAGGAGAAATGGAGGAAAAAAGATTGGACGTGATCTTTCTTCATGGGGGAGGGAGGGGATGCTTTCTCTCTCACCGACAAACACATCCATCTTTTTTTCTTTTTTTTTTTTTTTTAACAAACACATCCATCTTTTTTTATTTTTTTTTTTTTTAAGAAAAGTTTTTGCTATCGGGTACGTGTGCTCACCAGAGAAACAGATAGTAAGGGAGAAATCACCTCCCAGAGGGATGGCCATGCCACAAATCCCTACTCCATTCTTTTGGGGTCTAGGGCACACACGCCCGGCATGAGTTTAAGCCACAGGGTTCAGTACTGGCAGTCCAGCGATGTAACCATTACGTCATCTGCTGGTCCTGACACACCCCATCTTTTTCCAGCAAGCACACGTGCATGCACTCTGGCAATTGGAAAAAATTTAAAACACCTATCCAATGATGCCTAAATTTTTTTTTGAAAGGTTTTTACTGTAGGGTGCATGGGCTCAACAGAAAGTGAGAAGTCACCCCCCCAGAGGGGATAGCCACGCTGCAATCCCTTCTCCTCCATTCTCTTCTTGGGACCTTAGGCATGCACGCACAAGCGCCTAGCTGAGTTTAAGTCACCAGGTCCAGTACTTAAACCACGGTTGACTATATGTGAGTCCAGCGACATAGCCATTGCACCAACTGCTGGTCCCAGTGCCTAAAATTTTAAGCCTGAGACATTGGGAAATGATAGTACATCCACTCAAGAAATATTTATCAGTTATCTCCCAGGCAGTATTCTAGGCCTGTGCTCCTAGAACTGGAGGAATGAGAGATGGAAGATGTGTGTTTGTGTATACATATACACCTGTATATGTATGTATGTATGTATGTAAGCAATCAACTATAATTTCAAGTAGTGATACATGCAAGGATAATATAGCAAGATGAGGAATTAGAGTGACTGGGATGGAGGTATCTAATTTTGATAGAGTTATCAGAGAAGACTTTGCTGAAGAATTGATGTTTTACCTGGAGACTTAAATGATAAGAAAGATTTAAAGAGGGAGCTGGCAGGTGGTGTGGTTAAAGTGCTAGACTCCCACATGGCTGACTGTGGTTTGAGTCCCAGACCTGGTGGCTTGCTTTCTCACTTTATCTCTTTCTCTGTCTTTTTCTAATAAAATTAAAACATAAATAATAATAACAAATTAAATTAATAAAAATATCTTTAAAAAATAAGATTTAAGGGAAGAGCTTTCTAGATAGTAGTTACTGCTAGTTCAAAGATCTTGAGGTAGGAATGAACTTGACCTGTTCAAGGAATACTAAGAATGCCAGTTTGGCTGGAGTTGGAGTGAAGAAAGTGTGGTGGGAGATGAGAGTGGTACGCAAGGAAGTACACAAAATAGAGCCTTATCATCCTTTTTTCCTATATGTAATGAGAAGCCATTAGAGGGTTTTTATTAATGGAGATGACAACTGATTTATACTTTTGATGATAGGATGTTGGGTCCAGAACAGACCAGCTGGGAGAATAGTGAAAGTACCTGCTCTATTTTTTTTTTTTTTTTTTAGTTTTTTTTCTTCTGAAAAAAATTTTTTTTTTATTAATTTACATTCATTCCCTGATCATCATCTCAACATTCTAAATGTGGTTTCCCATCTAGAGTATACTATATAGTGGCTTAATAATGCATGTTATCATCCATAATATTCCATTTCTACTTTCATATATATGTTTTTTACCCCATGTCTAGCCCTCTGCCCTATTCCACTCTCTTATTACACCATGTCTGCTGTCTAC